TGCTTGCTTGCTTGCTTGCTCGGTTGTGCGCTTGTTTGCGTGTGTGCGCGCGTCAACGCCAAGGAGGCATAGGTGCATATAGGGGTGAACATACCACGCAAACATGTTGTATATATATATATATATGTATGTATATCATATCATATATATAGATATAGATATAACTATACATATGTACAAACACATACATATTCATATGCATATGCATATACATTTACATACACATACACATGCACATATACATATGCATGTATGTATGTCGCATGTGTATATATATATATATATATACATATATATATATATATCTGTCTACATACATGTATACATATGTCAGCACACTCCAGAACAAATGCTTTAACTACGCTACGCTACGATGCTATACTATGCTGTAATATGCTAGATTATGCTTTACCGTGCCATGCTATGCTGTATTGTGCTAGATCATGCTTTGCCATGCTGCACCATGCTATACTATGCTATACTATGCAATGCTGTGCTGTGTTATGCTGTGCTATGCTGTGCTATACTGTGCTATGCTATGCTATGTACAATACGATACTGTATAACTCTACTGTACTGCACTATACTATACCAACTGTAAACTATACTACACTTCACTGTAACTGTTCTATACATCCCGAAGATAGCAAGATGTTGCTTATTCAAGCAATGTCGTTTCCCGAACGAAAAATCTCATGCAGAGACTTAGCCGCTGCATGTACTCATCCCTCTAAACCGACGCGAGGGGCTCGTCCGACTGGAGTCACGGAGCCTAAAAGCCAGAACAGCGGCACGACAAGCTCAAGTCCACCAAGGTGTGCCCCAAGTTCTGAAGCCTATTTCTCCTTCGTTCCTGGATGTCCCCTGATCTGCCACTCTGCCACGCGGCGTCAGCATCTCCAGAATGCTCGAGGAAGCAAAGCCGGGGTCCTCGACCTGGATATTGTGGGATCATCCAGGTCTGTTCCATCCAGATGCATGCTTCAGCCCTTTAGGCCACGGAAAAAATTAAGGATCCTACTATTTAGGGTACTATATTAGGGTCCATTAAGGATCCTACTATTTAGGGTACTATATTCGGGTCCCCTATTCTCGGAAACCCCCAAACTGCACCGGGCCTGCAGCGCAGCCAGCGCTGTGTCGCGCGGCGCTGTCTGCAGCTCAGAGGCAGCAGCGGCCTTTCAGACACTCGGGGTCGGTAGACTCAATGTATATTATATGCATATATATTTTATATTATATATATATATATATTATGATATATATATATATATATATATATTATGATATATATATATATATGAAAAGTAGGTGCAAAGCATCGTCTGCTAAAGGCTCTGCTCAAGTGCCACCTTCTGATGCTCGTGATGCTCGCTCTTTGCCACTGGTTGAAACATCGCAACTCCTTTGATTGAACGTCTCCCTTCCCATGCTCGCGTCGCCTCCCTCTCGATTCTTATTGGTTGAAAATCGCCCTTCAGCTGCTTGTGATGCCCGCTCTGGCTTCCTAGTGCCCCTTCTCATGGTTTCGATTCTGGCTTTCGCTGCCACGTTGATTGAAAGTCTCCCTTCTAATGTTCATGATGCTAGCCCCTGGCCCCACATCTTCATGTGATGTTCGTGATGCTCACACTCGCTGCCCCGTCGGTCAAAAGCCTCCCTTCTGATGCTTGTCATGTTCTCTCAAATTGGTTAAACGTCTCTGTCCTGCTGCTCAAGATGCTCCATCTGGCTGCACCACTTTGTTAAAATCTCCTTTAAAATATTCATGGCGCCGGTTCTCACTGCCCCCTATGGGAACGAGAAATAACAAGAGTCTCTGGTGCCGACTTCTGCTGCTCATGATGCTTGCTTTTTGCTGGCTCGATGGCTACAAGTCTGCCACCTTGATCTGTCCCGGGAACTGACAGTCTCTCGTGTTGCTCCCTCTTGCTTTCCCATGCATTCGCCCTTCTGATGCCTCATGATGCTCGCTCTCGCTGCCTGGCTGATTGCAAAGTCTGCCTTCTGATGCTCGTGATGTTCGCTCTCTTTGCCCAATTGCTTCAAAGAACCTCTTCTGATGCTCATCTGATTCAACGGTCTCTCACTGCTGATGCTCGTGA